GAGATATAATTCAGGATCTAAGATTTCCTGAAGAGGAATACTAATATTAGCAAGAGGTGAAACCACTGGCAAAACAATTACAAATCCGCTGAAGACTTGCCATAGCCCGTTGTTTGTTTTTATCTAGATCTTCCCGCGGAGGAGTAAAGCAGTGCGGAAGACTCCAGTAGAAACCATTTGGGACAGGTTTTCCGGAACTGTTTNNNNTGATTGCTTTCATTAACGGACAGCCAACTTTGTCCGATTTGCACACATTGATGAACACTTTTGTGCTTTCCAATGGACGTTCATTCTTTGAAGTACAGGCATTGGTGAGCGAATCCATCTCAATGATACTGGGCCAATGACGCGTCTTCAGGCAGTGTCCTGGAGTTGGATTGATGAACTCCACCTCCATGCCCTGCTCTTTTTCCATAGTTTGAATTTCTTCCTCGTACCTGGGTTTAGATTCAAATATTTTTCATCGTCATCGAAAGTAGAAAAATTAATACATAGAGGAAATAAGACTGGCGTAAAAAAGGATCACAAATTATAATGGAAAACGTTTGTCTTATGATTAAAGCAGCCTGCATTGTCTAGGAATACTAATTATTACAAATAAACTCTTAAAGGGTATCACGCGTGTTAGTCAATGAAATCAAAAAACACATGCACATACTGAAACATCAATATCTTCCAAAACAAACATCCAACCGTGTCTGTTTATCTCGTTCGTAAGAACTGTCTGCAACTTAAGTCCGACGTTTTTCAGGGACCATGGGTTCAAACCTTAGGAATGTCTGAAACATCTATTGCTGTGGTTAAAAGCCTATTGACTGGAAACAGGTAAATAATATGATGCAAATAAACACCTTTCTCGTGAACGCGCGGTAGAATAGACGTATCCAAATGGTTGGGAATAATTGAATCCTTCAATTTAGCGACCAATAGAACGGAGGGCCTGTCAATCAACGAAGACAGGCAGGTGTAAAATGTTTCTAGTGGGATGTTGTCCGCCCGATTACTGTCTGTTTTGTTTGGTTGATCACCTTCATGAATTTCGTTACACCTGGAGGCCCGCACTTCACGTTGCGTGAATAAAGTAGAACTGTGGATAATGAACTTGAAGTGTTGAATATCCCTTTAAGTTGGTCAAAATGCTCTACAAACTTCCTATTTTCTTATTGTGCGATGGTCTGACCTGCTGCATCACGCAGAATGAGCACGGGCTAGTGGCGTCCGTTTGAAGCGTTGCAAACGAGTTAGAAAAGCGTTTGAAGTTACCTGTAGCTGATGCCATCTCCATTTTTCAACCACTTCCATCTATTAGCCCTTACGATTGGTTCAGGTGGAATCTGAGACTGCTCGTAGAAGTTCTACAGTTCAGTGTTTCCCAACTGATGGGGTTCTCTTGAGTTGTTTGACATCTCGATAGTTTTCGGGCGCTTTTCAGTTCCTGCAACCTTCATTCTAGCAACTTCACTGGCCAATGCCTTGATATAATTCTACTGTTCTTCTATCATCAAGACGAGACTGCACCTTGACGTGGTGTGATGGCTTGCGCGCCTCAGTGACCCTGCGAGCTACACAGGATGGCTTTTCACAGCCGGAG